AGCTCCCTAAAACAAACAACAACCTACACGATTTGGAGAGACAAAAATAGATGAAATTATACTGTATCTATATATATAAAAGGCAAAGCCCTCACTGACTCACTCATCACTAATTATCTTACTCCCCATTTACCTAGGAGGCTGAAATTTGGTACACTGATTCTTTAGGCATTAAATAGGAAAACTAAGTTGTTTTTATTCCGATCGGACTCTTGGGCTCCGCCCCAGTGGCTCTGGAGTTTCGCATGTTAACCTTATGAGTACTCATATTTAAATGGAATTAATGAATCTTAACAGCTGTTTCAATTAAAGCTATGGTTCCACAGACTGCGGAACTTCCGCCGTGCGGTGCGTAATTTTCCGCTGTGAAAAATTACGCAGCGTAAATCTGGAGGGGTGGTTCCACTGACTGCAGAAATAACGTTGCGAAAATTCAGTTCTGTCCAAACTAGCGACGAGTATGGAACACAAATAGAATACCATAAATACCATAAAATAATATTAGGTAATATTCAGACTTAACTATTTTTAATTGTGGTTACTTTTATTGTAAACTGATGTTTTAAAAATTACCTTATTAATTTTTTATGAGGATGGTGATAGTAAACATAAATAAAATAATAATTTGGACTTAAATTGTAGTTTTATTGATACACGAATAAATATACAAGCCCCAAAAATGAATAAGGTTATTGAAACTTAACTGATCGGTCACAATAATTAATTGATGGCTCTTCTCCACTGGCGGAATCCGCACTGCACTGCTCTCAGACCAGTATGATTTGTCCGCCATGCGCAACCGAAAATTCGGGATGCGAAAACGCACGTCAGTGGAACCGCACACATGGGAACTCCATTAAACCAGTGTCGTTGTAATTCCGCAGCGGAAAAAATCGCACCGCACGGCGGAGATTCCGCATCCTGTGGAACCATAGCTTAAACAAGTTGTTTAACAGTTGAACAGCTGTTTCAATTAAACAAGTTGGTTCTGTTCTATGATGTTCAATAGCATTAAAGTTACAATGATTACCAACAGGGTGCAGCACTATTATATTTTTTTAATTTATGACAACAGCTAATTTGCAACCAAAAGGTGAGTGAGCGTAGCGGACAAACTTCAACCTGGAGGCGAGTTAGTGTAGCGAACGAGCTAACCTGAAGGCAAGTGAGCGCAGCGAACGAGCTCCAACCTAAAGGTGAGTGAGCGTAGCGAACGAACTTCAACCAGGCCGTGATTGAACCATGCGTACGAGCTCACTTATGAAGTTAAACGGGGCAAAGCCCGCGGGTACAGCTAGTTTTATAAATAAAACTCTAACTTATATATTTCATCACTAGGGCATAAAGTGACTCTTTTCAATCCAAGTTTCAGCCCATAAGAGGAAAATGAGTAAGGGTTGAAAAGACACTCTTTGTCCGTGTGATTAACTATATTTTTTGTCATATTGGAACATTAACAAGCTAAGCTAGAAAACTAAAATACTTTTCATTTCAAGATAATATCTCGTTCTCTGAAAATAACTTCCAACTTGTTTTATTAATTAATTGTGTTAATGCAAATTAGCAAGCAGCTATATAGTACCTAAGTGATTCAATCATTTCATCTATTACTGTTGTGTTAGTTTAAAAAAAAATAATAATAATACGTTTAATAGCACAAGTAATAATATATTTACACTTATACTGTTGAATCACAAGACGGTAAATACATATGAAAGATGGTAGGTGGTGATCGATTTCGATTGGACACTCCAATCATCATCAGACCCAATAGGCGAATCATTTTTTACTGAATCATTTGCCTATTGGGTCTGATGATGATTGGAATGTCCAATCAAAATCGATCACCACTTACCATCTTTCATATGTATTTACCATCTTGTGATTCAACAGTATAAGTGTAAATATATTATTACTAAAGTTATTAGACATATAATCTGTTTGTTTTTCAGGTAATTTTATAACACGTACGATGCTGATCAAGAAGTTATTCATTGTTGTGTTAGTGTCCAGTCATTATGTCGAACTATTGACAAGATTACAGCTATAATCTACAACCGATTTAATTTGTTACATAATTTTAATAAATATTGTGATTGCTTACAATCGGAGTTTACAGCAGTTGACTTTTCCTCCTTAGGGAGTAAAAAGGCTTGTTTTTGCTGCGGAATTACGAAGTAGTATATTTCATCACTAGTCATACTTTAGATTATATTGAACACACTAATTCTCATATTTTATTTATTTTTCCTTACCGAATACAGTCTGTTGCCTCCATATGTGTCAAATCTGGTATTTTAGAATTTGCTTTTAAAGGGAAATTAACAATGGTGTAAAAAACTCTTGAATTTACTGTCGATACTGACTGAACCAGTCCAGGATCATTTTGTTTTGCAAATTTTTGGACTGATCTTCCGAATTTTGAACCATGTTCTGAATTTAAGCTCCCAAAACATATTGAGTTGTTCATTTGTAGGGAATCCTAAAACAAAACCACGATGGATTATTTGAATAATTCAATCATATAAACCAAAGTAAATTTTATGAGTATAATTGTAGCAGTTCCAACTTAAATAATATCACATAAATTTGATTTTCAAAACAGCAAGTCCAAGCAATTTCTAGACAAGTTATGTCTAAAAAAGTGTTTAAATTTTTCAAGACCAACTAATTCCAGAGTTAAGCTCAATTTTACTTTGATTATAATGGGAAGCATGCACAATTGATTTTTGTAAAATCCCTCCTGTAAAATCCTCCTTGGAAGGTTTCGCACTTGTGTAGTATTTACCATGTACATGAAGGAATGCCATAGTAGTTGTAGTAAAGAAAATTTACAATGAAAGATTTTACAGGCACTACTTTTAATCTTCTTTGTTTAGGTTATCTAACTAATACATTGCTTTAGCATTGAGTTTGGCTTTAGTAAAAATAATGGTCTTATTTTTAACCACTAGTCAGAAAGTAAGCAACATATTATAGAATGAAATCTCACATTTTAAAGGAGGGGAGATCTTTATTTTTTTAGGTCAGACATTGTCATGCAAACCTAACCACATATTTGAGTCAACTTTAGTTCGGCCTGCGGTTGATAAAAAAAAATGTATTGTGATCAATAATATTACCCTTGTTGAGCAACCAAAACTTGACTTGGTGCCACTTTTCTTTGTGCTACTCTTGATTGACATTTTTCTGAGTTCCCTAAGTTCCCTCAACCACTACACCACAAATTTCACCATTGACACAAAACGTTACAATTGTAGACTATTCAATTTATTGGAATCCTTACTAACTCATATTTACAGTTTGTTGGTTTAATTGTTGTGTACACTTAGAGCTTGAAAACAATTCTGTATCCAGTTGAATTCACAGCTGATTTTATTAAAGAAGATTAAAGAAAGATTTTCTGAATCTGAATATAGTATATTAGTATTCCTATTTTTTCCAACAAGCAAGGAATCACCAAGCAGACAGATTATATACTCCTAAGCCTATATGATAAGTGAACGTTTGGTTATATCCTTATATATAATACGTGAAGGCGATTTCTACAAAACACTACTCCTCCGTTAATAATGGTTTTTACAAACGATGGGTCAAAATTAATTATTTAGTATTTGTTGTGTAAACGCCCCCTATCACCAATTCCTGTAATAAACGTCCTCGGGCTTTGCCCCTCAGGCCATCAAAATCCCAATGTATTTCTTATGAAGAAAATATTTTGTTTACTTAAACAGACGAATAATTAGTATTGATTACAGCTGTTCATAGTAAACACGTGATACACACAAGAACGTTAGTTTTCAGAGCGAGTTTGTTTTCAGTTTCGATAACTGGATTGATTACATTATCTTTCAGTTGACTCTTTTAAGTCATCGTAAATTATGACTGTTATTCGTTTTGAAATAAACGCCTGCAATAGTTTGCAATTGCTCAAATTCGAGCAACAGGTGCACTAGTTAGTTCTGATGGTTGATACATCAGCCTTTAAAGCCATGTTTACACTAAAGTTTACAACTAAATGTTGCTCTGAACAAATTTGTGAAAATAGTGGAGGATTTTTGGTGGAAAACCAAAAGTTGTTCCTCATTAATTTAGAACTAGTGGAAAACTTGTTGTCAAAGAATTGGCTACCGCCCGATGTCGCAACCGGGGTATATGGAGTGGCCAGGAGGAACAGTTCTCCACTAGTTTTCCACAAGTTGCTTGCGCAAAGCATGTAGTAACTAGTAACTAGTCTTCACCTTTTAATTGAAAACTTTCTTTACCGACTCTCCGTGGGAAACCAAAATTTAGTGGAAGACTTGTCTCTCCACTAGTGGACGACAGAAAAAGTTGCTGTATTTTGTAGCATAAGCAACTAGTGGAAAACTTTAGTGGAAGACTTTGGTGTAAATGCGCCTTAAGGGTGCGCTTTACCCCTGACGCGCAACCATATTCAAGGGTTTGTAAGATAACTGTTTTCACCTGCTACATTGAAGGTAGAATCAAAGTTAAGGTATCATATTAAAGAGGATGCAATTTTCTATAGTTCTGCGTTTCATTATTTCATTTATTTTTAATACATGTCTTATAAACTTGATTTTTAGGACAAGAAAAAAGGCCTTTCAACTAGCCCTAACTTATTGAAAAAACGTTATTTGAAAAACGCAGAACTATAGATTGGTATTTGCACTACTATAAGCCGTTTAGAATGCGTAGCTATCATTATTGGTTAATTCGAAAACATTAATCTTGGAGACCTCTGCAAGCGCTTCTCGCGGCACTGTCCAATGGTGCAACATAGCAACTGAAGCCCGAGCTGAGGTAGAGCCACGTTTACACGAGGCCAGTAGAGCAGGCAGGTAACAGGGCCTCTAATGTATTTCCAGTTACCTTAGGCAAGTAGCCTGCCAGCCAACTGGGCTTGTGTAAACGCGGCTTTAGGACTTAGTGGGTTAAGTTCAAAAGAGCACCAAAGCAAAAAACACTTAAGATTTGTGGTGAAAAATAAAAAAGGCAAATTAAGAAAGACACCAACAACAGATTTTAATTTCTCATATCTACAATTAAATATTGAATCTTGTTAAACTATCTTCTTTAAAACTAATTAACAAATTGCTTAGTAATAACTGACCCAAGAACTATGTAAACAATCCACGCTACCACTAGGATTTTTGGTATATCTAAAAATACTTTGTGACCCACTAAAACCTAAAATCATTAAATAATGAAAAAGCTTGTATTTACAAGCACTTGTATGTTTGATTGTGTATTGTGCATTAATGGAAAATCAGGAAATGTAATGGTTCCTTTTCATAAATGTTATTAGTGGGCATATTATGGCTTGATTGAGATTAGATTAATGGAAGACACAACTATTTTCGCTAAATACAAACCAAAATATTTAGTAGGTACCAAACATTATTATCATCATGAGTCCAGTTTACTGTTGTACTGTACAGGAATATTTTAGTATTATAAAATATTGATGAATTTGTACAGATTTAAGCATCTAATTTGGATACATTTAAAACTTTTATCATCCTAATAGTAAAATCTGAAGACTGTTTTGACATTGTGGTAACACTTAAATGGGTTGATTTTAAGTAAATATTTCTCTTTGATTTCATGTTGTGTGCTTTACCTACTGCTTAGTTTTATTATCAAAGTACAAGCTTTAATTTACTAATAAGTCGTTTAATTTGGTTTTTGGTAGTACAGTCCAACCTCGGTATAACGAATCTGAAGGGATCAAACTAAATTTTCGTTAGGATATATAAGGATGTTGTTAAAATAGGTTCGTTGTATTGAGGTTAGGTTGGCAGGAATTTCGCTAAGTCGAGGTTCGGAAACAGCATTGGTCAATAAAGGTCGACATTACTTTAATACTTTTCAATGCAATGGCGACCATACAAAGTAGGTATTTAAAGTCAAGTATGAATGGAGATAAGTGGTGCAATCTTGTAGACTTGTTAGTGACTAAGGCCGACATACTCCTTAGACACAACTGTTAATTAATAGCCCATACCGGTACAGCTAATGGCAACTAAGGGACCTACAGTTCATAGTGGAATCCGAACCACATTTTTACCTTGGTGTTAACGAATTGGTCTAATTATCAGGATAGTACTGCAGATAGTCTTAGTTCTCACTAGTGCGGACGTTAATCCACACCAGGAAGTATCTTATCCACAGTGCATGCATATAAATATCCACAATTCGTGACCTTCTAGTAGCTGGATTACAGGCCACTGCATTTGACCTCATTAAAACACAATTAAGTAGCATAGGCTACAATACTTTACAGTACAGTATTGACATTTTAAAGAAGAACCTTGATTATCCAGGGTAATGAGGTATCCAACATGGTATCAAAAAGATGACAAATCCATAAAAACACTAATACTGTATAAAAAAATTCCATTTATGTCACAATTTGATTTTTTTGTTGACAAAATACAATATTACACAATCATTAATATTGCCAATCATGACTTAAGTTATTGACCTTGGACCTTGGTTCAATTTACAAACTGTGTTTAAAATCACAGCATACTCAAACTCACCCAAAGTCTAGCCAAACACTGTACAGCAATAAATCTAAATCACGGAAGGGATAAAACAAAACAATAGAGAGTTTTGTAAGCTACTGCTCGTGAGAGGCCAATAGCCTGACATATTGCTTTATCACAACAGAGGAATCTCAATAATAATAATCAACTATATCATTGGCCTTGCCTTGGTTGAAACAAATTGTATTGAAAACAATAAAAACATTTGATAAGTCAACATAAAAGTGTATAATCATTTGAAGATAATAAAAACACTAGTAAAAGGAAGGAATAAAGATAAAAGGTGTTGATATTCTTTCTCTTAGTTCTTCTGTTCTTTCTCAAGTTTCCCTTCATCAAAAAATTCAAAAGTCGTCATAGTTACTTATCCCATTCCCAGTTTACAAATCATTACGTCGTCATCAGTCCTCAGTGAATGAAATCAGTTGGGACATAGCGCACAGCATGTCTGCGCGATGATGTTTTATATAGGTATATATATATAAACAAATTTTAACAAATTGTGTTTTTGCCCTCTGGGGACATCAAAATGAAACATAAACCAAAAATGGGGATAAATAAAATAAATGGGCCTCTGGGTCCCGGGACCAGATCTTACTATGAGACCTACGGTAATAGCTACTTCCCTATAGGGTAATTTTCCAAAAGAGCAGACGAATGTTAGCGCAAGTGTTTACATCAACTTTCCAATTTATTTTAATCAAGAAACCGTGATTTTTTCAAAAACAATAATGTGTGGGGGGAGGGTTTGTTGTATTGAGGGAAAGACGTAGAGGTTAAATTCTTTAAGTAGAGGTTCTGGCAATGATAAATTTGTTATATTAAAGGTGTCTTCTTTTAGCCGGGATCGTCAAAAATTCATTAAATAAAGGTTGTTATGGTTTGTTCGCTATGTAGAGGTAAAATATTTATTGTGTCTTTTGGAGAGTTCTAGGAGATTTAAAATAATTTGTTATATCAAGGAATTTGTTATCTTACCTCAATATAACGAATTCCTTGATATCGTTATATCAAGGTTAGACTGTATAATAATTCAATAGGAAAATAACCTAAGGATGAAAAGAAAAATATGACACACTCAAATTGTCATCACACACACAAGCGTTGCTGCCTAACCATATCTTAAATCTGTGGTCAACTGATCCATAAGGACAAGGAAGAAAACTTAAGTTAACTGTTATTTGTTTAGTTGTACACAAAAGTTTAAACATATTATGATATCAAAAATTACTATTAACATTGAAATATACTATTATATCCCATTGATCTTCATATTGAGTGCAAAGTTGACCCTACAAATTATCAGGTACTCTGAAGACCAGATTCTAAGCATCTTTCAAAACGAACAACGTGGGTTTGAAAACACATAAGGATTTGAAAAAGATATGAAAATATTCTGATAAATAATACCACATTTTTCTCGCCTATTATGGAACTAAATCATAACTAAAATCTCAGCTTTTGGCTCAAACAATATCCAGAGGAAGTAAATTACACCCTCCATTCAATAAGTATCGGGACTGGTTCACGTTAGCCTTGAAAGAGCGGTGGAGGGAGGTTTGACCAGTTGGGTTTGATAGAGGGGTCCTTCACCATTCAGGAGAACTTTAATTTAGTCACCTACGGGCATTTTTTGAGACAGGAGGTTGATATTTGCGCCGAGCCTTTTTCCATTGTGTTGAGCGTACCGTAAAGCAACGCTGTGAAGTTTTGCTTTAAACTCGGGAATTCCTTGTCGGAGACCAAGGGAAAGGCAAGGGTCCCCGATGCAGATTTTCCGAGTTTAAAGCAAAACCTCTCAGCGATCCTCGAAGGTACGCTCCATCCATGTTGACGTGATGACACAATGAAAAAAAAAAAACACTCGTAAATATCAACCTCTTGTCTCAACGAATGCCCGTAGTGCTAAACCAAAGTGCTCCTGAATGGTGTGGTGAAGGACCACTCAATCAAACCCAACCGGTCGGACCCCCTCCACTGCTCTTTTAAGGCTACAGTGAACCAGTCCCGAAACTTATTGAATGGACCCTGTATGTAGTCATTAGTATATAATATGATATACACATTTTTTGCAATTCAGACCATAAGCACATTTTATTACAAGATACGTTGAAGTAATAAGGATAACAAGTTTTAAACAAATTACCATTCAATGAAATTGGCTTATTTTGTATCCTTGGCATAATTATTATTAGGTATCCTTTTACACTACAGCCATGTCTAATATAATAATTTTGATTGATATATTTTTTCACATGTTAAAATAAACTGTAATATTACTAGCTTCTTTGAATAATCACTTTTCTTTCAAGACAAAAGTTCAATTAGTGTATCTATGTAAGCTGGACATGCATACAGGGTAAGGACACAATCCTACATGACATATCTTGCAGGTTTACAGATTTAAAGTTGTTAAGAGTTTGACAATTCTCTTTAATTAAGGAAAACAATAAAATTGCCAATATATAACAATTACTTCAATATCTGGAATTACTTTTTAAAAGTTCAAAGCACCATTATTCAATCTCCTCTTATTAAATAAAGAATTAGTTTACATTTAGACCTCCTCCATGGATATATCTTTTAGGAACCAGAACCATTTCACAGCTGAAAAATATAATTTGTTGGAATAAACGCAAATAAACACAACCTTTTATATTGCAATAACTGTTCACTGAAATAGTTTTCAAAGCAATTTACACATAATATAAATGAATTGCACAACCCTTACGTAGAAAATAGAAGAACATAATTTAACTATATTTAAGTATTGGTTATTAAAAAAATAAACTGTAATTAGAACATAGGCCTACACCTCAAACATATTCCAAACGTTTTAACTTAAAAGCTACAATATTAAATAAAGGCTTGTACTTAAATTTGAATACAACTCATAATAATAAACAGACCTAAGTTAAGTGGAGTATAACAACTGTAAATTATAATACATTTTTGTTCATCCAGCAGGTACTGTCAACAATAACAAAATTTGTCGCTATTAGCACGTAATTTAGAATTTATTGGAAACCCAGATTTTTTAACAGAGAATTTCATGAATCCTTAGCGATTTTTGAGGAGCTATTTACACAAACACATCCACTCGTTAAAGCTAAACCCTGCACTCATACAATTTATACAAATCATAATAAATATCCATTATATTTTGTAAAGATATACAAAGGGCAGATCACAACTCATTCATCATCTGTGTCCCCGTCGCTAGAATAATCTTGCACTGGGATTGGTCGACTGAATGGAGCGTGGGACATTTGCCTGTAGAAACAAGCAGTTAAATTACTCATCATAACTAATGTTATATTGATGCCACAACATTTTAGAACAATATTTCAATAAAAATGTTTTCTTCTGACCTACAAAGATAAATGAAAACATGTACAACAGAATGAAGTTTATAGAAATAATAGTTTAACTGATAAAAAACTATAACAAGAATACATCGATTCTCGATACCAATACCTAAGAAATATATCCTCGATTCTCGAAACCAATACCATTTTTTTATTGTTTTACAAAATTTTCTGAATGGATTGGTTTATACTACACCAACCCCTGTCTTTATGTCTTTCTATTAAGTATTTTTGAGGTAATGGGGTGTTTTTTAGGTGAAGAAAAAATTTATGCAGTAATGATTCATCTTAACTAGCCAATTTAAGTATAAATTCTTCTCAAATCATAAAAAAAAAAACTACTGTACCATATTAAAGATAAACTAGTGGCTTGTAGGGACATTAGTCCCTAAAAAGCTCAAATCTAAAACAAATAACTGTATTGTAATATTTAAACAATTTCAGAATCAAATTATCAATGTGTCAGGATAGATATCCCAATACAAAATATCTTTTGTGTAAAAAAAAACAGTTTGTCGTTTATCTTTGTTTGCTTTTGTTGATGTTATTTTCAATAAATAATTTGAACGACTCCAGAGGTGTAACTTTGCTAAAGGCAGCAAACATGTTTGTGAATAAATATTGGTTTACTAAGGTAGCTTTGGTCTTTTGGTTAGGGATGAAAAATGCTTCCCTGATTGAAATATTGGAAATTGTCTTCGTCAAAAATGAAAGGGCAAAAAGGTGTGCTGAGATAAGCTTAGTTCATGGTCAAAACCGCTAAATTAGCACCTGACCCAGTTATTATTTCTACGTTTATGCTCATTTTGTAAAGGTTTAACAAAATTAGTGTAAACTAAAGGTATGCCATTGACAGAACTTAACCCTAAATTTGTTTCTGATCAACATTTAAAAAAAACTACTATTAAACTTAGCCTAGTATAAGTATATTTGGTGGTAATCCTCTTAAAATTGCGATTGACTTAACATATCCTATCAAAAAAGGGCCTAATCAACATCTGGTTACTAACTATTTTGCGACTGGTTAGAGTTCCATAACCCAGTTATCGAAACCAATCACGACATGCATATTTTTTGTTAGTTTTAAGAAACGGAAATTACCTCTAGGTTTTACTGTTATATATCGGTGCTCCCTTTACTACCGTGTATGCTAGGCTATATTATTTGAACCTGTACCTGGTTAGTCTCCTCTAAAAAATATTGTTTTTTCCACCCATTGGAACTTGTCATAGTACTTACTTAATGAACGAATACCTGTACAAACCCCTATTACATCTTTATTCCAAAATTGTTTTCTAAGAGTGGGCCGTTGAGGTTATTCCACTTCATACAAAATGTTGATTAAACTCCTCAATAAATCTCAAATTAATATAAATCTTAGTAAATTTACAAAAGAGTGTGTATTAAATCTTTAACATATGTTTTAAAATAAAAACAAAGCAGATGTTGTGAAATCAAAAGAAAGCAAAAGTTTAAGTTCTTCATTTGTTCTTGAATCGTTTCTTTAATCTTGAAAACAATTGATTTCACCTTTGACGTAACTAAAAAGTCTTAATTATTATGGGTAACGTTATCCCTGGTTTTTAGCGAATTTCCCATATAGGGAATAAGCTATTACCGTAGTACTCATGGTAAGACCTGGACCCGGGACCGATTTATTTTTTCGTCTTGAGGTCCCGGGATCCCTAGAGGCCAAAAACACCATCCGTTCAAATTCATATATATATATATATATTTATATATATATATATGTGTCCGTCAGCACGATAACTCGAGCAAAAATGATCCAATTTTTATGATATTTGGTACAAACGTGTAAACCTACATTTATTTGAACGAGTTCGCGAACCAGCATGATCGGACTATGGGAACGGGGGTTTATGGGGGGTTTTATGGGGTAAAAATAGGTTTTTCCCATTTTTGACCATAAAAACACAAAATTTTACAATTTATTTCCAAACCATTTTGTAGAGCTAAAAAAAACAAATAATTTAGTATATTGAAGCGTTATTGTGCGCCTAATGGTTATAGAGAAAATTCAAAAAAATTGTAAATTTAAAATCCCTATGTTATTCTTATGGAGAATAAGTCAACTGTTGTAGTTTACTTGTTTATGAACATATTTTGATCGAATTTGGAAAATACATTCATTTCTTACTAAACTATTAACATAAAAAAACCACCTTTTTACCCTCCCTGTTGCAGCAAACCTAAGTACTCGTTAAACTAATTCTATTTAAATAGGGAATAAATATGATATTTTTAAGGAGGCATTTTAATGTGAAATCCTATCAGGCTAATGGAAATTCGCTTAGTCTGCAGGTTTGCTGCGGAGGGGGTATATATAGTATACAGTACATTACAGAATTGACTGGCAAATGAGTAATCTAAATGTAATATTGCTCACTGGCTTAATGATCAATCACGATCAGCTGTATTGAAGTAAACAAAAATCAGCAGTAAATGGATTCTAATGTTATTCTTATGGAGAACATTTTACGTTATATCTAATTTTGTGTTAAAATTAGGGGAATTTCACTATTTTTCCTGCCGTCACGGGATCAAGACCTTTAATTTGAGCCCTCTCCCGTCATTCTACGACTTCCCAGTCGCCCACAATTTTGACGCAAAGAATCGGCTTACGTAATTAATATATAGATAGATGAAGATCAAACAACAACAAAAAAATTAAAATTATATTATAGAGGGTATTTCTAGCCTGACATTTTTAGTCATGCCAAACTCAAGGGTTTTTTTACTATCGCCAACGGTCAGGGAGATATCATCTTTGTCTTCTGGGATCACTGCAAAATCTGAAATATCTTCTTCAATTACGGAAACATCAACACTGCCTTTCGTGGTTGCGGAAAAATCATGAACATCTCCCACAGCCATCATCATCTCCCGCATCACGGAAACACCATCGTCGTCATCTGCGATTGCGGCAAAATCATGAAAATCTTCCACGGCTGTGTAACCATCATTATCGCCTCTCGCGGTCACAGAAACGTCATCTTCGTCTTCCACGATCGTGGCAAAATAATGGAAATCTTCTGCAGCAGTGTATACATCATCGACTTCCGCAGTCACGGAAACATCATCATCATCATCGTCCCCAATTGGTTCAAAATAATAAATAAAATAATACAATAACCTCGTCACAGCTCTGAAGTTTCCATATATTACGACCGTTTTGGCATCAAAATGCCATCCTCAGTTATGTATATCCACCAGTTTTGGCGTCGTCAATCTTAACACACACACAAAACACAATAAAAAACATTCTCATAAAAAAGATTATCAATACCGATACCAACGGCCAAGTTTCGGTGGTATGGAGAATCGACATATCCCTAATTTTATTACTTACAGGCAACCAAAAGCAAAGGGCCAAACATATCAAGAAAGTTACAGATGACAAGATTTTTTTTGTTAATTTTAGGTTAGCAAATGGAAGAAGCAGAACCAGAAGAAGCAGTAGCAGAATTAATTAAGAGTTAGAACTTAGAACATTTTGTGCACTAGTAATTCAAATTATTAAGATGAATTCCAGGCTGTAATTAAATAGAGAATAACTACTAATCTTGAAGAGATTTTAAAACACAATCTCCCACATTACCCCACTGTTTTATAACACCGATATTCACAATTATTGAAGCATTAAATGTGAATGGTAAAATTATTGACTTACGCAAGTCTACGATAGTGATTGAGCCATTCTTCTAGCATCTGGGCAACAAGTAGAGGCCGTTTGTTGAGTCTCTGTTGTGCAACCAACAATCCACCATCAGTCACACCAACGTCCAACCACTGCCTCAACAAACTCTCTTCTCTACCCATCTGTGAACAAAGTTTTATTGAGTATCTATTGTGCAACCAACTATCCACCATCAGTCACAACACGCCCGTCCAGCAGTACCCAGGTTCAGCTTGCCCATCAGGCCCCACACCGGTGGCTCAGCATGCCCATCCGGCAGGGTCGGGCCCGGATGCCCAACTGACTTCCTGGTGCCAAACACCCTGGTTATATACCCGCCGAATCGTACCCCAATCGGAGCATCTATCCCATCCTTTGGAGACATTGTACTACCTCCAAGCACTTTTGTACCTTTAACCTCAGAATTAACTTGGGGGTCAAAAACATTTCTTTACAATATAGGCCTAAATGGAATGGCTATTTGGAGAATCTAAAAGTCAATGGTGTATTAGCCTAATTCCGGGGACCCTAACTATTAATTTTGTAGTAAATTATGCTCAACCATATTAATCCGATTGTTCATCTCTGTATTTGTCCTGTATTTGTTTAGATGATTTGTTGACTAATTATTTTACAACTCTTATGTTTACCTTTTTACGTTATCTTGCAAATAATGTCATGTCAACCAATAAACCCCATGTTAAATTACTAAATATTTAGATTCACATAGAGAAAAGCCGTTTAGTTCGACTTGTACCATTTCAGATCTATAGTTACTAGTTAGTTAGTTTCAACTGTGCTAAATTTCATGCGGATCGCTTCAGCCGTTTAGGAGTCGAGCATGTGGAAAAGCAGGAGTGTGCTTCGCTCAACAAGGGCCTAGGTGTTTATGATTTTTTGTGAGGATAGTAGGTTTACCTGAATGGGAAAGAATTAAGACCAGGACAAGAATCACAAAGCTTTACACTATAAACTAGTGGTGTGCATTGTGCAAATATTCATGTGGTCTGATATTTCCAGGCAGGGAAACATTCAGAGTGTCTAGTTTATTTCCATTTTAAAATTCAAGACTATTTTCAGACTTTTCAAGACTAGTTTGATCAACAATTAGTGATATGTTGATAGCAAAACTTATCGATTCTGGAAACCGATACCTGAAAAATTGATTCTCAATTCTTGCTACAAATACCATTTTTGATATTTTTACCAAATATACTAAATTAATTTTCATTTTGGTTATACTACACCAACCCCTGTCTTTTATGTCATAAAGTGTTTTAAGATAGTGGGGTGTTTTTGAGTAAAGAAAAAATTAATGCATGAAATTTCTAACTAGCCAATTTAAGTTTAATCTCTTCTTCACACATTAAATAACTACCATATCGAACATTATCGAACCATATCGAAGGTAAATGAACATCTTACAAAAAAAGAAAATTTTATAATAAGTAAAGGTGAGCCAGACTGATATTTTCAGTCAAGCCAAAATAGAGGTAATAGTGTGATTATCTGCGTCTGTGGAGACAACACCGTCACTTCTGGGATCACTGTGAAATCCGGAATATCTAAACAGCATCATCCATGGTCACGAAAATGTGATCGTCGTCTTGTGCGATCGATCGCAGCAAAATCATTAATATTTTGTTAGATTTTATATGGTTAGTAAAACTCCAGACTGTGGTTGGTAAAACTCCCGACTGTGGTTAGTAAAACTCCCGACTGTGACAACAAATTTAAAGACTAAATCCTGACTTTTCAAGAACTTTTTGAAATTCAATACAAATTCCCAAAATTCCTGTATTTCCCTACTAACCCTGAATGTTCTAACTTTAAATATAGTATAGAGTATATAATAAGTTTTGTTAGGTAAGTCTGCTACCCTTACAAAAATCCTTAAACCTACGCCCTTGTGCTTTACGTTACATCCTAATCCTAAATCTAAACCAAAATTAAACACCTGCAACCGTTTCTCTAACAAACAAGAAACAAGGCATTTATATTTGCAAGAAATACAATAACACATATTGTACATTTTTCTGTGGTAAACCTACCTCAGACTGTGTGGTGAAGTGGACAGGCAAGATCTTTTTATCATGGTCCATGAGAGGTAGGAAGGTGACCTGGAGACTGTCCTGGTTGAGATCGTTAGCAGCAGTCTCAGGTGAGGAGTATGGCTCTATGGGCACCAGGGCTGAGAAGTGACCTCTTGTGTAACCGAGGGCAACAGGCGACTTTGTGCAAAACCCAGGCTCCCACAGTAGTGGCAGATAAACACCTAAATACATCAAATCATACTAAGTGGCTGTATTGTTATTTCATTGTGTTTCACCCACTATTACAATTGTGCAAAAATAGTCTTGAGGTAGTCTGATTAATTAGTCAGTTTGTTATAACCTAAACTTTACCTTCCTAATCTAACATAACTTCAAAACACTTAATACAGTCACGAATCCGCATAAAACCCGACCTACCTTCCTCACATGCCTAAACAAGAAGGAACTGATTATTTGGTAGATTGTAGATATATAAAATATTTGCCAATGAAACTAATAAATAATAATAATAAACATTTGAAATGTAATTAAATTTGGGAAAATGATTTTTACAGATTAAACTCTTGGATTAACCCCCATCTTTTAGACCAAGCATCTATTAAGTAATTACTTAAGGCCCGCCATTCCCACCCATTAAAAATCTCTATATATTGTTCTTGTGTCAAAATTGGACAGCCAGAATCAAATTTCCTTATTGAATTTAAAACGGGACAAACAGATTTGAAGTGAAAAGCATCTTCTTTCTCTTGTAAATTACAAAGAGTGCACAAATGATAATTGTCTACAAGCCACGGTTTGAAGTTGAGGTTGATAAGCTCAGCTCTTGCATTGATCGCCTAGGACATTACAGTTATGTCATATCTGTCAACCAGGTATGTCTTATCGTTTGGATCGAGGTTAATAGATAAGAGTTGTTGGTGATACAGAGACGTGCGAGCTCAACCCTTGCATTCACTTTTCCATGCTGCCCTCTCCCCTTCCACCACACTAATCAGCTGTGATTGTAGAACAGGGATGCCAACCTTGTCTACGTCGAAATTTATTTACCTGCCATACTTGTTTCCCAGACGCTTCCCATGTTTACACCAGTAAATATTCCTGTTTTTACCACTAGGCTTAACGTAGAGTCCTGCTATTACAAATTCAAATATATTTATTTGTGATAATACAACATCTTGGCCTCGCAAAGTTTACAAAACTTGTCGGCGAGGTCCAATTGATTCACAAAAATTAACAAACAATATTTACATTTTTTCTTTTTAATAAATATAAATATTTCTAGCGCTAATAAACAAACCTCACTATTTAAAAATCCACCATTCGGAACTTAAGTTCAAAATTTAACTAAAGACATTTGTACAAAGCTAACACAAAATCGAGAACATCTTCTGTGATCACGATAAAATCGTGAACATCTCCCGGGGTCACAGACATCATCGTCTCCCTCGATCGTGCCAAAACTGTGATCGCAAAAGAACCGTGAACATAATGTGTTTGGATTAGACATTTTCACAGAGGCTTTCTGGAATCAGGAAATCAAAAGTTCGGTGCGGTTATGGCAAATCATTCAAATATTTCGAGGTTACAGCAAAATCATAAACATCTTCTGTGGTCACAGAGATATGATCATCGTTTCCAGGATCCCGGTTAAAATTGTTGACAATATCTACAATCGGGACAATAAAATATTACAGAAATCCTCGTTCTGAATTCTTGCTAATCTAAACAGGGTTTGGTACCAGTTAGGTAGGAATTATGGGACTCTACTGTACTTTTTCACTATTAACGGAATCCACATATTAAACATGATGTTTCTATTAATGTGGATTGAACTACAATTGTCGCATATCTCTTGTACTGAATGGTGAACGTGTAATTGAGTATTAAACAGCCTAATACAAAGTTTGTTTTTGTTTTTGCAAACTACCTTCAAAACGAGCATAACCGAGGTCTTCACCACGGAAACTCTTGACATATTTGACACCGTAGACAATGATGGGTCTGCGCAGTATGTGAGCCAAGGCAAAAACATGAAGCTGCTCTAGACTAGCGCCAGGCTGAGTGGCCAGTGACATGAGACCCGCCCAGTCCTGCTGCCACTGTGTCTCCTCTAGAGAGAACTGTAGCAGCCTGGCTTGGCACGACTCATACTCTCTCCACCTCGGGTAGAACCTAGAGCACACAGATTACACTAAACATGAAGCTGCTCTAGACTAGCGCCAGGCTGAGTGGCCAGTGACATGAGACCCGCCCAGTCCTGCTGCCACTGTGTCTCCTCTAGAGAGAACTGTAGCAGCCTGGCTTGGCACGACTCATACTCTCTCCACCTCGGGTAGAACCTAGAGCACACAGATTACACTAAACAATATTAATTAAGTCTAGGTTCATGCCGTAATACAGACAAAGTAGTGGTCAACAGGTCAAAACTATCAGTTTTACGAATAAACATTATGTTGTTTCTGTGTCTAATATAAATTTAGTTACACAACCAAATTCTCACACAGCAAGCTGACTTTAGAATTAATTTTGACAAACGTTAATTATGCCTACTGATTATCAATAATGTGCCAAAACAGTTGAATATAAAATGGATTATAACACACATGGATTAAGAGATGCAATTAAAAACCATTTCTCGGTATTTAATTTATGAAATCTATTTTTACATTAGTGATAGTTATATTTAACTTATAAAAAATCGTTTTCTAACTTGTTCAGATTGAGCGGATGTTCAGAGTAGGCTACCCAAGTTCGGACTAGTGGGCTCAAGTGTACTAGGTGAGTTACCTCTTCTAACAGTCTTGTCCAATTAATTTCTTTACTTTATCTTTCAATCTAATAAAAATAGTTTTCAATTAATCTATGGACTTTGACATCCTCTCTGACATATTTTCAAAAAATAATATCCTCAATGTCTATAATATTTTATCAGTTATTGAATGTACCAGATTATCGGATGCATTTTACTCTATTTCTGCATCCCAAGGTGGCCCCAAAAACATACACCCGGCACTTTCAATTCAAAACATTCAGGTTTGAGACATACTTGGTGACAGAGCATACCCCTTTGGACACACTTATGGTATTTTTATCTCTGTTATGGATCAGGCTTAAGTTTTATGATTTTATGAAAGATTAAAAAAAAAACAATTTGAACAAGGCCAAACAAAAGTTACAACCACACATTAGTCTTTTAATGCAAATAAAAAACTGTTAGAAAACTGCAACTACAATGTTCAATATATATCTATATATATAATACGTGAAGCCGTATTTTGTTAACGCAACTCCTCCCTTATTTCTGGACCAATTTCAACGATTAAGGTGTCAAAAGATTCGTCTCAATATGTAGTTTTGCAATAAGGTTTTAGAATTTAAAAATTCTTACTCTTAAGGGTGTGAGACCCTCTCAAAGGTCGGGTTATCCCCATAAGAAATACACAGAACAAATTTAAAAACAAAAAACAGCTGTTTATAAAAAGAAACTCATTAGCTTTTTGGGAGTAAATATTAACGTTTTAATATTCAGTAGGTTAAGACCAAGTTAAACGGTTAATCAGTTTTGTTGGAAGAACGGAAAATGTCTGAAGTTCAAAGAAGAAATTTTGAAAACGGGAGGAGGAGACAATTAATAATAAGGTATCTTATGCGTATAAGGAGAGTAGAGAAAGGGAGGGCTGGTTTAACAGATACACATTCACTTGGTGAGATGAATAATATTTGCCAGTTCTGCTATGCAACTTACTTTGGAAGTGAAAAATATACGAAGCACATAGTGTTGTCACGGTGGTAAAATAAACTTGCCTAATGTCAGATCAAATGAATGTATGCAAGACATTTTTACTTATGAAACTGACAGATCGAGATATTTCAAACATTTAGTAGAAACCATAATAATACCTTGAGTTGATAAGCTCAAGTAGTAAGATTATACCAAATCTTGGCGGACCTTATGTTTTTATTGTAAGCTTTTGTATTACTCGCTCTACTTTAATTGAGCAAAAACACAAATGGATTGTTTACTTCTAGGTTATGTTGCCAGTTCCTTGGACAAACTGATACAACGTTTTTTTTACTGAATTTTAGTGGCAATATTAGACATAAGTAAAGGAATTAGTGTTCATGTATTCAACGATCGAGTAGTTACAGTCAAGTTTATTTTTATGATTCAGGAGAGGCAAATAATATACGCTGTTCACAAGGAGAAAATGAAAATTGCTATCCAAATCTTATAGCTACAAGAGCTATCCAACCTATTTCGAAAAATGAATCCATACTTTCAAAACTTTGGGACAGGTATTAAGAGAAACCCCACTGAACAACGTGAGAATGGTCTGATGCGGGGCATATACCGTGACTAACACACAACACGTTAACAAACTATCAATGGTGTTGCTGCTTTAGCCTATTCAAAGCAGATTATGGCTTTCCAGTTGATAACCCAGAGTTTGTGGGTAAAAAATGGAGCACATTAAATGGTTGATAACTCCACTTTTCGGGATTCTCTACGGAGAAAATTCGTTTGATTAGGGGGATGCCTAGGCAACAGTTTTCTTCAATTCTCAACGCTAAAAAAACTTTTTCGCAACATGTTTGCTCGAATTGAAGAAGCAGATAGTTAAGCATTCATTAGAAGTCATCAGTTAAAACTGAGAGCAGAATAATGTAGGTGAACCTTGACGACACAAATAGAGATATTTAAAATTAGTTTCTAACAAGTTTTCAAACAACTCTAAGATGTAACTAGAATTACTAAAATTTAAGCATAACGTTTTCCTCGACGTTATATTTCATACTATATGCGGCTCATTGAGCCGCACGGGTTCTCTAGTATATATATAAAAGAGGAACTATGTATGTATATGTATATATATATGTATATAAGTTATGGACTCTGAAACCGCAAAACAGATTGTAATGAAACTTTCAGGCATTATTAAGCATCTTTCAAGGATGGTTTGTGTGAAGTTTGGCGCAGATCCATCAAAAGGGCTCCGCCCTAGAGGGTTTTAAGTGGGCCAGTGTCAGACTTTCTGAACTACAATGTTTACAAATAAATATGACAGCTGTTACCAGGCAACTGTTTTGTAGGTTTGAATAATCACAACATGCTGTATTAGTTATGATTTTAAAAATAGTGCCACAATATTTTTCACAGAAAGCAGCGCAGAAAACTATTTTACTTTTGAATAAGTACAAATATATTAAACCCCAATTGCAGCACACCTGTGTACTCAACAACCCTAGTTTCTCCAATGTTAAATATCTAAACATAAAAACCTTCATACAAGTATTATAAGCAATAAAAGGGATGGAAAATATTAGTTCTGAAACGCAGCAACGCGCGCCGGGTAACTGCTAGTATATATACAGAGTGGCTGGTCTTCAGTGTGACAAAATATTTTTGTACAAAGTACAAAGTAAATGCAGTGTTATGATGCATATAAAAGGTTCCAAGTCCAAAAATTAGCTTCCCGAAGAATTATTTTATGTTTTTCAAAAATAACTATGTTTTCAAACTTAATACAGCTATTTCTCAATTACCTGTAAATGGATTTGAGTGGACAATGTCATTTTCGTGTTCTACATTAAATTTTGAATAAGAATAATAGAAAATGACGGAGGATCAGTTGTAAAAACTCCATTGTAAATAGATTCAAAGATAAAAATTTAAAAAACATTTGGTCTATTGTATTTGTTCACACCCTGTATACAAGAAAGTTTCCGAATATGTTAAAAACTGCACCATTTTATAAGCTTTCTAACCATATGCTACACTATTGAGGTTTAGATATTCTGTTGTTTGTTCTAGTGGTTTGAATACCAGAAAACAGGGAACTTTTTACTGTTTTTACTGTTCAAGCTGAAACAAAAATACAACTTTTGCTTAATACATGCCGGCTTTCTATGTTTTAAATGTTAAAGACACCCTGTTTTCTGGTATTCAAACCACTAAAACAAACAACAGAATATCTAAACCTCAATAGTGTAGCATATGGTTGGAAAGCTTATAAAATGGCACAGTTTTAGCGAATTTCCCATATAGGGAATAAGCTATTACCGTAGTACTCATGGTAAGACCTGGACGCGGGACCGATTTTTTTTTTCATTTTGAGGTCCCTAGAGGCCAAAAACACCATCCGTTCAAATTCATATATATATATATTTATATATTTATATATATATATATATATATGTGTGTCCGTCAGCACGATAACTTTCGAGCAAAAATGATCCGATTTTGATGAAATTTGGTACAAACGTGTAAACGTACGTTTATTCGAACGAGTTCGCGATCCAGCATGATCGGACCATGGGAACGGGGTTTACGGGGGGTTTTTATGGGGTAAAAATAGGTTTTTCCCATTTTTGACCCAAAAAAACATAAAATTTAGCAATTTCCTTCCAAACCATTTTGTAGAGCTTAAAAAAACAAATAATTTAGTATATTGAAGCGTTATTATGTGCCTAATGGTTAAGGAGAAAATTCCAAAAAATTGTAAATTTAAAATTCCCATGTTATTCTTATGGAGAATAAGTAATCTTTTGTAGTTTGCTTGTTTGTGAACATATTTTGATCAAATTTGGAAAATGTTTTTATTTCTTACTAACTATTCACATTTTACAAAAAAAAAAAAACAGTTTTACCCTCCCTGATGCAGCAAACCTAAGTACTTGTTAAACTAATTCTATTTAAATCAAGAATAAATGTTATATTTTTAAGTAGACATTTCAGTGTAAATCCAATCAGTCAAATGGAAATTCGCTTAGTCTGCAGGTTTGCTGCGGCGGGGGTATTTAACATATTCGGACACTTCCTTGTATACAGGGTGTGAACAAATACAATAGACCAAATGTTTTTTAAATTTTTATCTTTGAATCTATTTACAATGGAGTTTTTACAACTGATCCTCCGTCATTTTCTATTATTCTTATTCAAAATTTAATGTAGAACACGAAAATGACATTGTCCACTCAAATCCATTTACAGGTAATTGAGAAATAGCTGTATTAAGTTTGAAAACATAGTTATTTTTGAAAAACATAAAATAATTCTTTGGTAAGCTAATTTATGGACTTGGAACCTTTTATATACATCATTACACTGCATTTACTTTGTACTTTGTCACACTGATGACCAGCCACCCTGTATATATATAAAATGTATTGAACTAAACGTAATAATTGATAAAAGTTGCAGTTTTTATAAAAAATATACTGACAAATCCATTGAAAGAATCAATAAATGATGTAGAGATTACTCACAAATGGCCTCCATTGTTTAGTGTGTCGGCTAAGGCTTTCCGGAGCAGGTTGTCTCTGTCGAACACGCCCCACGTGGTCTGCATGAGACTGTCTAGCAGACAGTCGCCCGCAGACCTGTTCCACAAAGCGTGCAGTCGAGACCCCAGGTGTACAGTCACCTCCAAGGACCAGTTGATGACAGGTGGATCATCCTCTAGCTGGCGCTGGGCGTCCTTGTCTAGCAGCTCCTCAAACAGCTGCTCCTGGATGGATGCTGGCAGCTCTTCAATTTCTAGTGCATTATAGAGAAAAGTTTGATTAATTATATAAATTATATAAAATTTATTTCAGTTATGTGCTCAAAAGGATAAAGGAAATTGAACTTGTGAAAGTGAAAATATGTCGTTCAACGATTATCAAATAACTATGTTGTTTTAAAATGGGAGTATACTTTTCAGGCTAAAGATTGAGTCAATTATGACGACGGTGTGTAAGGAGAGAAGGGGGAAAGGCCCCCAACAACACTGAGGGTCAAACCACTAGGCGCTAGTGATAATAGTGATATTAAATTTATCTAACTCAGCAATTTATTGTTGAGATGCTGTACAATATAGAAAAACAAACATGGTAGAGGAAGGGTTCTTTTGTGCATGCACTAACTCTAAATGTCACAATCTACACTAGATTTAAAGACATAGAATCTGATATCATGGATATTAAAGTGGCAATGTCTACAATTGTAATTTAGTTTAACTATGACCGTTTTTGAACTAGCCCTTCCAACTCAGTTCATAAAATTGAAAAGATTCATTTTACAGTAATGTTTACTTACTTTACAGTATAGTTTTGTTATTTAACGTACACATTTGGAACAATGAGGTTCAATAATAGAGAGAAAGATAAAATTGTAATACATCGAACGTCAACTAATCATCTGTTAAGACCAATTTAATTTGATTAGACAATGAGTGAGTGGTTGCGACAAAAAGTCGTACAATAAGTAGCAATGAGAGGTGATAAATGAAAACATAACCTCTCTTAGAAGTTAAGAGTTTTATTTATATTATTTTATTTTATTTATACTATATATTTTATTTATAGTTATGAGTTTATGACTTTTAGAAATTAAAAACGGTCATAGGTAAAGTAGTGTACGCAAATCGCGTAATTAGCCTTTATGCACTCGTACAAGTTGTAAAGGCACTCGCCAAGGCTCTTCTACTCGTGTCGTAAAGACTATCCTAACGCGATTGTCGTGTAAACTTCTTTTTTAAATTAATTTAAGACAATAAATTAGACTGCCTTTAAATGAGAGAGGACCTGCAGGAAGTGTGAAGGTAGGCATTTCGTTGAGATAGGGACAAGGCATGGTGCCCTTGCGCTGCCGCAGGGTGGAGGCAGCGTGACGGCGGATGTCAGCTGCTAGGTCAGGAGCCACGTAGGATGGGACACGCTTCACACCCGATCCACTGCCTTCAATACGGGACAACAGCGTCGCTAACAAGTCTTCTCTGTGAAACCTGCACATCATGTTTTATTAGAAATATGATTTGAAATCTTGCCTCAGGTTTGATTTGTCAAGTAAATCAACCATATGTTTAGATGCCGACCAAAAAGTTAATGAAGTTCATTAACTGAGACAAGAACCGAATCTAAATTTATTTATATTAGATTAACCTTAACCAATTCGCCCTAAGGGGATTGGTGGAATGTGGTAATTTTGGTTTCTAAGAAGTCATTAAGAAGCAAATTTTCATCAGTGTTTCCATAGTTGTGTCAGCTGATAGGAACATTTTGTGTCTATGAGGTTAAAGTTTAAAGTCCTTTAGATCAGAACACTGGAGGAAATTGTCGGAAATATTAACATTGTTAAGGAAATTATATTTAGTTGATTGAGATTATTTTGACATTGACCTGATGGCAAGGTGTACAAGTGTGTGGCCAGTGTCAAAGGCGGAGGGTCGGTTGAGGTAGGCCACCTCACTGGCTGTGAGTTGACGTGTCGGGTCGCCTCCGTTAGACAGGAACGTCTCTACTGGACTGTGGTCCCCTTGTACCACACCCAGACAAGCATTGAGCCACGACCTGTCTAGCGGGGACCTTTGACGATACCTGGCAGAGTTGTTAGGCGGGGACAGATTCACAGGGTCGTCTCGCCTCAAGCTCGATCTGTCAGAACCATCCATATTTTACCATTTAGTAAGCAAAAAAATCCCATAGACAACTCTGCTATTCTTAAAAAACCTTGTATACATCACTATTTTTTTACTCTTAATTGTGAGATCATGATAGCTATTCTTTATATCAATTACCAATCATTTAGATGGGGATGCTACCTATGTATGTATTTAACCCAAATGAGAGTGAAAGATGAGTGTAGATTGGAGTGTGATGATCTGTGTATAAAATGGTTACACTGATAAGCCCAAAGATATTTGAGCTTCACTTGGCACCGGAATCAAGATACAATCGTCTAGTCAATGCCGATAGGCCTACCGATACGTGACAGGTTTGTAAAGATTGAGCAATGAAAAATTACTACTTTTGCAGTGTTCGCACAAGACAATAATGATGATAATTTGCCGCTATCATGACAACACCCGTGAATATTATTTTGCCATATCAGACATCCGCAATCATATTAAAATCGCCGCAAAATTTAAGGTAATTAGCTTAATTTAAGTTAAGCCACGAGTCCATGATCATTACTTGCGATTGCGACAAAATACAGTAATTGTTTCTCATGATAACAGGCAACACATATATAGGCCCTATGATCATAGGCTCGTTTGAGTTTGCCTTCCAATTGCTGCAAAATCCGTTTAGCTTATCGGCGATCATGCCAACACCTTTGACTATTTCTTACCAATTTGGGGCTACATCTGTAATATCTTGTAATTTCAGCAAAATTTGTGCTAAATGTTTTTAAAGACTCATATTCATTTTAGAAGGTAAAAATTGTGTCAACCAATCAGATGGTTGTTATTAACCACTGTTTCAAAGTGCTATTTTTCGGATGTAGCCTACATATTACTTTATCAATAAAGCACTTATTAATTTCATTTCAGTTCATAATTTCAGCAAAATTCACCATCATTTAACAGTGATTGTACCAGTGCCCGTGAACATTTCTTGTCGATTTCGGCAGTATGGATTTTTAGCAACGCAAAACAAGAAAAATATGTATCTGATGGATTTATTGTTTATTATTTAAATATTTAAATTTCCCGGTAGGCCTACTTTAGAAAATTTGCATACATTTCATGAATGTTTCCCAGTCATAAAAATTTACGTACAATACCTGGTTTTCGTGTGGGCTGGACACCCTATAAAATCATCAACTAATATAATCCCGAGAACAGCTTGGACAAATCCCGCAATTGGATTACGGCCCCGGGGATCAGATCCTATTCGTCTGTTAGGGGTTAAAATCAATCAGTCTAGGAAATAAATTAAAAAACTGTTATTTAATAAAGATAAAAATTAAACTCCAGGACCTGACAGATATAAAAGAGCAATTAGTGATATATCGATCGTAAGATATATCGATTACAAAGTGTATGTGAGATCTTCAAATTTCAACTGGGTATGCAAACAAGATAAATATTACCTTTTGACACAAGGAACGTTGTCCTCAATAATAATACTGCCCGCGCCCTCCATAGGACTGACTCGTGGCATGGTGCCACACATGATGCAGCGAATGGAGCGAGGCCAGTTGTCGTAGGTGCAGGTGGGACAGGTCCACTTGACAGAGCTGCTGGATGTGGTGGTGTCAGTATTACAGTCTATCCTCAGTGGCCGTAGTTGCTCCGCTAGGTCTGCGGGTGTGTAAGTGCGAGGTGCATGACACTCCGCACACTCCTTGGCTCTGGCCCAGTTGACATGAGAACACGCCTGGCAGTGCCACGACTCTCTCGGCTTATGAGGCTCTCGTGGCGAAGGCCCACATCCAGGTGATATTCCTGTTATTACACACAAAAAATATATGTAACATAAAGCTTCTTATAGACCTACATATAAAATAAATGGTGCTTTGTCTTAAATGCATCTCATGCACAAAAACTATATGTAACGTAGAGCTTCTTATAAACCTACATATAAAATAAATGGTGCTTTGCCTTAAATGCATCTCATGCACAAAAACTATATGTAACGTAGAGCTTCTTATAAACCTACATATAAAATAAATGGTGCTTTGCCTTAAATGCATCTCATGCACAAAAACTATATGTAACGTAGAGCTTCTTATAAACCTACATATAAAATAAATGGTGCTTTGCCTTAAATGCATCTCATGCATTTATTTAGACTGATAATGATATAAATTTAAAGCTATAGGCCTATTGGTGATTATTCTATAATTGGGGATTTTTATAGTCTCCCCTCCTGACACTATCTCATTCCTCAATTTCTGACACTAATATCAGCCATATCCACGTTTCTATTTTGAATTTATCACTTTATTTATTATTCGAGTGCGTTGTTATAGAAAAATTACTTAAAGTAGCCTACCTGACTGAAAAGTGAAAATGTGTTTACTTTCCTAACTTTGTTTAGCTAATTTATCTAGGAAAATTCTGCAAACAGCAGATAAGAGTTGTTCTACCATTTAGTTTCCTGGACCTATTTCTGTAAATAGTCCAGTCAATGAATGATCCAAAAGTAGGTGTAGAGTGCGTGAGCAGGTTACTAAGCGATTCCTTCAGAAACTTGTTCAGGGGGCTTAGGGTGTTAACATACCAAAAGTCCTGACTCCTAGGTGGTGAGCCAGGGGGTGGAGGGGGGAAAAAGGGGGGGAAAAAGGTACGCCTTTTGAGTTTTTTGATTATATCTCGAAAACTATCAACTTTTTGTATACTATAGTAAATTATAAAATTGAAGAAGATTAAATTTTCTACAAGAAAAATATATAATGTGTTTATTTTGGTTCAACAGATTACGTGTTATAACTTATTTAATTGATATCTTATTAAAATAATCCTTACATAAGAAATACATGTAAATTAGTATGCGAAATGGGGCGAATCCTATCCGCCCAAAGGAAATATAAATGATATTCTGGAAATCTTGACAAAATTTCCAGTAATTTGACACATTAATCATGAGATTTTGTCAAAAATTAAAGCGAGGGTGAGCGTTTAAAAATGGGATGATTTAAGGTTTTTTTTTATATTTCCAATAAAAAATCACCAAAACTCGACATTTTGTTACCTCGCCCTCGCCTTAATTTTGGATCAATTTTAATGATTTAAGTGTCAAATTACTGGAAATGTTGTCAAGATTTCCAGAATATCATTTATATTTCCTTTGGGCGGATAGGATTCACCCCATTTCACATATTAATTTACATGTATTTCTTATGGAAGAAGATTTTAATAAGATATCAATTAAATAAGTTATAACTCGTAATCTGTTGAACCAAAATAAACACATTATATACTTTTCTTGTAGAAAATTTAATCTTCTTCAATTTTATAATTTACTATAGTATACAAAAAGTTGATAGTTTTCGAGATATAATCAAAAAACCCAAAATTTGTACCTTTCCCCCCCTCTTTTTCCCCCCTCCACCCCCTGGCTAACCACCTAGGAGTCAGGACTTTTGGTATGTTAACACCCTAAGCCCCCTGAACAAGTTTCTGAAGGAATCGCTTAGTTACCTGCTCACGCACTCTACACCTCATTCCTTGACTGGACTAAAAGGAAAGCATCCTCTTGCTTTGTTAGCCTACCAGGCTAAACTTTATCAACTCATGTGTAGTAGATGAAATTATTAGACATCTAAGCTTGTCAACAAAATACAACAAAACTTAAACAAAAAATTAATGATTAATCGTTTTCTGTTGTGATGTGCAGGTAGTTGTTTTCAATTTTTAGAGTGAATATGAAACCAGTACTAGCGTTTGAGATAATTGGGAGCTTAAATAGCTGATTTAAATTCTGTAGACTTAAGTCAAAAGTCCAGTGCATAAGGTCAAGCAGCATTGATTAATTCTGTAAAATTTAGTTGCTGTTTGTTGCAATTACCTCCACTCGATGGTCTGCGTAAAACATCGTCTCTGCTAGTGGGTGATTCATCTCGTAATCGGTAAATGTCTTCATTGAGTAATGGCTTGAATCCTCGACACATAGTGCATTTTAATGCTGCAGTAAAGTTTTCGTAAGTACAGTATTCGCAAACCCATTTGGTAGGTTCGCTCATCCCGACGTTATTGATCTCACAAATAATCTTTTGGTGATTTTTTTTTATTTGAAATTTTATTTAAATTGCAATAAGAACACAAGACTAGAAAAAGGTGAATTTTAAACTAACAATTTATTACTAATATCACAATTGATAAGCTTCTAATGAGCTTAGATCCGCAAACTTGTGAAAAAACACTAGTCTCCACATTATCAAGACGATGATAAATTACGATGAGACTAATGTATTTAAATTTGATAATAACAAATAATTAGCATACCAGGACAACAGACCGTGGCCTAATTAAAGAATAGCACTAAAGACCACAGTTGTCATGAAAAGAATGTTTTATAGTCTGTTAGCATATTTGAGACCCGTGGTCCACAGGTAAACAAATAGTTATCCTTGTGGAAACAAGAACCAGCTAACTCATCACTGAGATGACTCCTCGGACTCAACAGTCATTAATTCATCTTTTCAGGGTAGATTATCAGCCAAAAAACAAGTTGATCTGCCCTAAAACAAGAAAAAAAACAAGGATGAATGTTGTGAGGTGGGCTGTAATATTAGATTAAACCACAAAGAAAATCAAAACATTAAAAAGTAAACCTGAACAAAAATAATTTTATGTTGATATCATACGGCAATACAATTGAAATACTATATTTGAATTTGACTGAAACGGTAAAAGGTGACGTATGATAACAATTAAGGTAAGCCAGTTACTTAACTGTTGGTACACAAAAACCACTAGTCCTAATTCATACAGTGGCTGATTTATCAGTCCAGAACAATGTGTAAGTTATAGTGACTGTTTATATAAGTTACCCTGATTATACCCTGGATATACCCTATCAGTTACCCTGGTTATAAGGATCCTGAGTAGGGGATACAGCCTGTATATGTACAGAGTAGGAACAGTCCTTTGGAGAAGACAACACTGATATGCCTTAACATATATTTATTAGCATACATCTAAAAAAATATTTTAACACTGTTAAAATCTCAATTGCGATTATTAACTTGTTCCAAAATAGCATATATTGTGCTTCAACAGTTTTAAACCAAGAGTTTAGGACAGGGCTTCAGGACAAGGCACGTTATCCATACTTATCAAAACATCAAAACGTTATCAAAATATGGTGAAACATAATGAGGAATTCTCTCCAGACAGTGACGAAAGCTGTTGTTGATCGATCAATCATAGCTGTGGAAGGTTTCAACTTCTTTTGAAAACCATCCTTAATGACAAAATTAAGTGCAAGAACTCCCAGCCGTTGTGCACCAGTTAAAAATCTTCTTCATGCAGGAGATGGTTTGAGGAGTAGGTCTTCAATTCATCTGAGCAGTTATACTAGTCAATAGACATGATTTAGCCCCTGATCTGAATTGAAGACTATAATATAGGCTTATAATACAATTACCTCGTCACTTTCAAACTTCAGAGCTGTGACAAGGTAACTGTATTATTATATTATAGTCAGTTAAACTAGGCCTAATTAATTTGGGTCTCAGAGGATGTTTTGAAGTCTAGTACCAAGGCTGCAAATACCGCCAATAGGTTATATTGGACAAAGACAGTGAGAGTGTTTACTCAATTTCTTACCCTTAGCTCTATACAGTTAGGCCTAATGACATGCAGGCATCCGCCATCCGGTAGGTGGAACATGGGGGTTACGGCCTAGACTATTGCATTGGCTGTATGTATCTGTTGTCCGACCAGCCTTGACATATGGTTCGCTTGTGTGGTGGCCTACGATGGAATCTACTGCAGCTGTCAAAGCTTTAGCAGGAGTTCAGAGGCTCGCTCTTATAGTGATAACTGGGGCAGTAAGTAGATGTCCTGGAGCAGCTCTAGATTGTCTGCTTGATATGCTACCCATCGACATTTTTATCAAAGTGGTAGCAAGAAAAACATCCCTACGCCTTGGATTCGAAAAAGTATGGATAACCACAGAAAACAATAAAGGGCACTTCAAAATTGTTCAGGTGGTACACAATGATGAGTTGGACCTGCCTTCAGACCACCACGTTTAAAAACCACTCCTTTGGAAAGCCTTTCAAAGTACTAATACCAGATAGGAAGAATTGGTCTGGCGGAAAAGGGCCCATCCCCACAGGTGATTTAGAATGCTATACTGATGGTTCTAAGATCAAAAATGGTGGCACTGGAGCAGGTGTGCATTGGATAAATGAAGGCACTGGCATTTGTCTTCCCATGGGGGTGTACCCAACTGTTTTTCAAGCGGAGGTCACTGCCATCTTGGTTTGTGCTCAAGAAGATCTTAACAAAGAGATTAGAGACAAACCAATCAATATCTATACTGATAGTCAAGCCACCTTAAAAGCACTTAACTCTTACAAATTCAACTCAAGGCTCGTGTGGGATTGCCTTGCTTCTGTGTCTGAGTTGGGTAGGAGAATTTATCTTACGCTCTGCTGGGTGCCTGGACACTCAGGCATTAAAGGAAATGAGCTGCAGACAGACAGACAAATACTGCCTCTGTGACGACAATGATAGGCCCACAACCCTTCTGTGGCATTTCACGAAATAGTGCATGTTCTTTGATTGCGTCATGGGCCAAAGAAGAGCATCGCAAACACTGGGTCGATACTCCCCTTCTTAGACCGGGGCCACACTCATCTTATCTCGCTGAATTTTTTCCACGGGTGTTACCCGTGGGTTTGATGGATACATTACGGTAAATGGGGAAGGCCGCACTAGAGTAAAAACGTCCGTGAACGCGTTTGTCAAACGGAATTGCACGTGTATTCTCTACTAACATTCCACGGGCGTTGCACGTAATACTAGTCGCGGGGCATTGCGGCTTATGGGAGGGAACACACTCATCTTATCTCGCTGAATTTTTCTATGGACGTTTCTAGTTTTCACCTGACTGATTTACTATACAGTGAGCATGAAGGGAGGGGGGGGAGTGCGGATCACAGACACGGATAATTTTGGTTGCTAGTGTGGCACGCTCTATTAGTCTCGCTGGTTAGTCCGAAAAACCTATCTTGTAAGACGAGTGTGGCCACGGTCAAACCGTTCCACGTGCGTCGCAAGTGAAAACGGAAAAAACAATCTCGCTGGTTAAAAATTACAAGTGTGGCCCCGGCCTTAGGGTCAGCAAGCTTACGTACTCTGTTTAGGCCTTCTAAAAAGGTTGCCTCTGACCTCTTGAGACTAGACAGGTGAAGAATCAAATTTATTGTAGAACTGATAACTCTTTACGGGCGATTCAGGAAACATTTACAACAGATGGGCTTATTTGATGGTTAAACGATCTGTAGGCACTGTGATAGCTCAGAGGAGACAGCCGATCACCTGCTCTTTGATTGTGACGAGCTCTCTGATGCTAGAATGATAACTCTTGGTAATGTGGCTAGAGGAAGATATCTTCCCGAGGAGGAACTAATTGGGAAGCTACGCCTACCTCGGTGAGCGACAGTTCAGTAATAAAAAGGTTGTAGCCTATTACACATTTCTTAAGAATGATTTTGAACTTTATTAAGGAAACCCAGTGGAAAAGACATGAATAGGTTTCAGTTCACATTATCTATAACTGACAGTACCGGTATGTAAAAAGAGTGGGTCTTGTCCATAGGCCTAAGTATCAGTTAGCAGGAGGAGACAATTTGCGGGTGGCAGGAGTAGACAATCAGCGGCAAAATTACCAGTTTGGAATGGAAACCTTACATACCAGATAAAAAGAGATAGACTGCTGTGTATGTAGCCCTATCAGTAGGCTATTGCAGCAGGTGGAAAAAGAAAGAAATCCCCAACCATATTATGCACTAGAGTGCCAGTACTGGCCAACATAGGTGCTAGACGATATTAGACCATTTTAACCCTCCGAGTGTTATTTGTCGCTGCAGCGACACATAACACACTTTGTGTAGTGTTTTGTGTCGCTGCAGCGACTCACAAACACTGTTTACGGCGAAGGTTCTATGACTGACAAAATCGGATTGAACTGGATCGAGTTAGGTATCGTTTTATTTTACAGATTCAGAGCTTTCTCCGGAGGTCTGTCTCTAAGCGCTATTCATTTTAGTTCCGAAAATATTGTAGCAGACAGCTGACGTGCGTATCTGTAAACAGCTCGGTTAACCTCAAACCGATGACTGAAGTGTTTTATTACGTTTATCATTGTTTTAGTGTCAAAAATCAAAAGTAGTGATATACGTGGTGCATTATAAGAAGATTTAAGTGATTTTGAAGGGCTAGTTGATGATCCTGAAGAAGTAGGTAGTGATATTGGGGTAATTCCATATCAGTTCAACCAGGTCATCTCACCCACCATCTCAGAATTTGATGAAGCTTGGCTTGTTTGTTCTAACCATAAAGATAAGTCACCATACCAAATTTTAACTCAATACCTCTTACCGTTTCCTTTTTATAGCCTTTTAAAGTTTTTCGTTTCCGCTAGTGCTAACCATCAGATGTCGCGGAATAAAACTCGCTTACTTTTAGAAAATAATTTATAACTTTTCTGTTTACTGAAGAATCTTCATAAAAATTCATGTACTTATTCTTTAAGATATGAGGATTCTAGAAAAAAATACTAATACCTCTTAGTTTTATGTAATAAGGCTGAAAAAAAATTTATTTTTTGTACCTATGAATTTTTAAAACGCGAAGACATAGTTTAGCGTAAAATGGATTATCTAGAAAAGGGTATTAGATAAACACAAAAACCTTTTTTTACTAATAATCCTTATTAAATTAGCTATCATATGCTGCAAAAAAATTCATGGGGTTTTAATACCTTCATAGTTTTTTATCAAGTTAAAAATCAAATTATGAATTAATTTTTTTTCTGTATGATTTACAGAACTGTAAGGATTTCAAGGAATTAAAATTCCCTAGACTTACACTATTACAAAGAACTTGATAGTGATTAATTATTACTAAATTAATATCATCATATTTTAACCCATAACTGTCTCAAGAACTTAAATTTAATACATACTAACGCCATAATTAAAAATTATGAACAATAATGTCTTGTACTTACATATATATTTCATTTACAGTATTTGTATCTTAATTACATTCAGTACCTATGTACAAATAATTTAATGGAGTTTTGAACATTTCTCTTCAATTGATCTCATACTGTACATTTTTTCTGGGAATTTGTATGTTCTTACTGTAGCAGTGTCTGGTGGATCAACAATTGCCAGTACGTGCGGAATTGGTACAGGGCAAATGTCCTCGCGCTTAGGCCATTGAAATTATAGTGATGGCCCTACAGGATGCATTAAAACTATACTGTCACATCACAGCCTTCTTTATTAACTTCAGTTATGACTCCGAAGTACCATCGATCATCATATGTACAAGCCACATAGCTTGATGGAGTTAAATGTTCTTCTGCCACAATTGGTAACTTCTTCCCTCCTATCATGTTAGTAAAAACTCTCATCTTGACTCATTTCAACTACTGTGATGTGGTAATCAATGACATCACTAATGAAGTTTCTAGCAAATTTAAGCAACCGGTAACGCA